CTATCTAATATCTAACCAACTTTTCTCCCTGACATATTCTTAGCAATTCTTCCATCTAGTTTTGGAGGCTCTTTTACATTCCTTGGCAAAATCTCTTTTGGCCACATATAGTCTACCTGTTTGTAAGTTATCCATGCTCCCAATCTGACTCCATCAATTTTTTGAAAGATATACTTTTGTTCTAATAGCCTCTTTGCTTCTGACAGATAGTTATAACATAAATTTAACAAAAGTCCATTATGTTAGCAAATTTTCCATTCACATCGACGCTACACAAAACATGTGTTTTTAGCAGCAACACTCCATGGTGTCCAGGAAACTATAATAACGCCTGATAACTGCAGTAAGTTTCTACCAAAGTGCACAAAGTTTCAAAACTGTTACAGAGGAGTTCAAGGCAGATCATGTTTCTAGAAAAAACTGATGTAGCATCAAAAGCAATATGGGCTTACACATTTCAGTAAACTTGTGCTATGAAGGTGTAACTCTTGTGTTTTATACCTTCCCACAGGAAAAGTATCAGGAGTGTCTGAAAAGGCTGCTCATTCATTAGACTCTTAAATTGCCATCTGACCTTTTTTAAAGTCCCATAAAAGAATGGATTTGTGACATGAAGAGTGCATTGATTTCCTTGAGTCTTATCTCTGGAGTCAAAAACCAAAAACAATGAGGCAGTATTTTAAAGAAACATCAAGTTCCATGTTTATGACAATAATAAAAACTTTTAATAGAGAATGTTCCGAAAAGAGATCTGAGTTTTTGTGCTAAATACAGCACAAGACTGAAGCTCTAAGTTTCTATCGTGACAGTTATTTCGGAAAGAACTGATGCCTCTGAGCGACCTCAGGTGATTTGTTTGGATAAGCAAAGCAGGGTCTTAAGTAGCAACTAGGAGAAACTGGAAATCACAATTTCTGCTCTCCACTACAAATAATCTTTTTCGGTTTATGCTAAGTAGCAAGCTCAAGGCCACTTACCTGGAAGCTGTGATCCTGTTTTAAAAGAAGTTAAAAGATTCCCCAGAGGCTACCAACTGTATGGTTTTGTAAGTAATGCTGCTACTGACAGCCTTGGGTGTGGAGGTTTGAGTCAGATCTCAGCGTGATCGTCACTCGTCCACACAAGACGCCAGGACTTTTGCTTTAATGTTTTTATTCCATTTCATCCCAAGGCTCCACTCCCATTCTCTTTCACCATAGGCAAGCATTCTAATGTACTTGTAATCATTCATTTAGTTCTACTTACTGTACGTATGCCTATTCTGTGTCAATTCGAAGGGCTAGGAATACACCAGCGACCAAAACAGAGAATAAAAACCATGCCTTCCAGGAGCCTACATTCTAGTAGGGAACTCATAATGAAAAATTAAGTAGTAAATATTATTAAAGGATAGTAAGTACTATGAGGAAAAATAAAACAGAGAAAAGAGGAAATGCTAGGGGGTGGGGATGCCATTTTAAGGAGGGTGGCCAAGAAAGACCATACTCAGGAGGTGACATTTGAGCAAGAACTTGCTGAAGGTGAGTGTGTGAGCCATACAGGTATCTGAGAGAAGCCCTAGGGAACAGCAAGTACAATGATGTACCATTGGGCTGGTGCGTACCCATTCATTTATGTGTTCTTGCAAAACGCATATTGTTTTGTGTGCACATATTTTAATTTTTATAATTGTATTTACAATTGTCTGGGTTCTCCAGAGATAAGAGGTAGATAGATAGATAGATAACAGATAGATAGATCTACACTAAAGAGTGGCTAATATGATGACAGAGGCTGGGAAGTCCAAGATCTATGGTCAGCAAGTTGGAGACCCAGGAGAGTGCATGCCGTAGTTTCAGTCCGAAATCAGGGAAAGACCAATGTCCCAACTTGAAGAGAGGCAGAGAGAATGCTTTCTAACTCAGACTTTCATTCTATGCAGGCCTTGCACGGATTAAATGAGGCCCACCGACACTGGGGAGGGAAATCTGCTTTACTCTGTCTACAGATTCCAATGCCGATCTCATCCAGAAGCACCCTCATCCAAACAACCAGAAAAGAATACTGTTTAACCAAATACCTGGGCACCTGGTGGCTCCGTAAGTTGACACATGAAATTCACCATCCCAGAATTGTACTTGTCTCATATTTGTCATTCTGTTTCTTGCTTTCCTTCGGAAAAGTGTTTTTAAGGTCAATAGCTGTGGTAGACAGAATTCTAAGATGGCTCCCATGATCTTCACCCCTGGGGCATGATGATGTTATGTTATAGGGCAAAGCAATATTGCAGATGTATGTAGTTATAGTTACTAATCAGTTGACAATAAGATAAGGTTATCTCATCAGCCTAACCTGATCACATGAGTCCTTTAAAAGCAGTTTTCTCTGGGTTTTTGCAAAAGAGAGGAAGTCAGAGAAAATCCAAGTGTGGGTAGGTTCAACATGTCATCGCTGGATTTAAGATGGAGGGGGCTGTGTGGCAAGGAGTGGGGTGACCTCTTGGCTGAGAGCCAGCAAGAACCTCAATCCTACAACTGCAAGGAACTGAATTCTGCCAACAACCTGAATGAGCTTAAGGGGGAGTCTTTCCCAGAGCTTCTAGATAAGAACCCAGCCCAGCCAACACTTTGACTTCAGCCTTGTGAGGCCCTAAGCAGAGAAGTCAGCCATGCTATAACTGGGCTTCTAACATACAGAACTGTGAGATAATAAATGGGTGTTGTTCCGAGACAGTAAATTAGTGGGAATTTATTCCACAGAAATAGAAAATGGATATAGTAGTACATTTTGTTTATTTAAAAAACACATATCGTACTTGCTTCATATGAGGCAAGATTCCGAGAACTTTACAAGTATTAATCCCTTTAATTGTCATAACCCTGTGATACAGGTTTTATTATTTTTCCCATTTCACAGATGAAGAAACTAAGAAACAGAGAGATTAGGTCACTTGCCAAATATCAGGTGTTAAAACCAACAGTCAGACTTAGGTGATCTGGTCTGGGGACCAATGCTCAGACCCCACATCTAGTCTTTTGCTTTCAGCTGCTTCATAATATTCCATACTGCGCATACTTAACTCATGCCTTATCCAGGGATAGATTTCTCGTGACCCTGGGCAAGAAGCTCATGGAAGACTATATCTCTCAGGAGTTTCAGGGGTCCCATGTACACATGCAATGTGATGAGGCACTTTTGGGTGGCTCTTTAGAATAGTCACATTTATCCACGTGACCAAGAGCTCATAGGAAGCACCACATGTCTGTCAGGAGCACTTTCCAGCGTTCTAATTTTTGCCAATCCAATGAAAATAAAGTGATATTTTATTGATTATTTTTTTAAAAAAGGAATTTATATTTCACTATTTTTTTATTGTGGTAAATATATAAAACAAAAAACTTGCCATTCTAACCATTTATCAAATCATTAGCATTAATTGCACTCATCATGCTGTACAGCCACCACTCTTTCCGAAATTTTTCATCACTGCAAACCTCATTGCTTTTTAGTTTGCATTTCACTTTGAGCATCTCTTCATATGCTCTTCAATACATGTACATTTGATTCTGCCTTGTTCTTCAAAAAATTAAACTATAAAAGAAAAGAAGCTCTGAGTCCTAATATAGCACCATGCTGTTGCTTCCAAGTCAGACAGCCTTGAATTTGAACCCCAGTTCCTGCCTTTCCAGCTGGGTAACCTTGGAAAAGTTACCTAATCTCTCTGACCCGTCAGTTCTCTTATCTGTAAAATGGAAGGAATATTACTAACCACTCCAAATTCTTCCAAGCATTAAATAAGTAGTAGGCTTATCACCATGCCCAGCAAAAAATAAGTATTTGATACATGGCAATTGGCCTTATTATTAATATTAATGATATTATATTATTAATTCTGCTTGGACTGCCATTTCATCCAAGCTTTCCCTGACTCAAACGGTGGGACAGGCCACCCTCCATGGGGCAGCACTGTACTCACCACCAATAGACTTCTAAGCTCAGGATTTTGTGGAAGAAGGAATAGGATTGAGAAATACTTTAAATGCAGAGCCCAAATGGAGGCGGGGTGGGGAGATTAAATAACATTTAAAACATAATCGTAAATAAGGATCAACCCCAGGGCCCACAGATGAGGACGGGCGTCTGCCCGTGGATCCGGCTGTCCTCCCAGGCTGCTGTCCTCCCAGGCTGCTGTCCTCCCAGGCTGCTGTCCTCCCAGGCTGCGTGAGTGCACAATCCCCAGCAGGAGGAGGAATGGCTCTGCGCTACCTCCCGCCGAGCTGGTGGAAGACGCTCTGCCATACTGATACACGTTTAAATCCCCAGGAGCGCCAGATGTGCTTCTTTCTGGACTGTCTGTGGCAGGCTGACGCATGTTTGGGGTTTGAATCCCTTCGGTGGAATTGATGACACAAACATGTAAATAACTAAAATCAGCAGACTTCACTGATGTTGTGAGCTATCCATCATCAGTGTATTGAAACATGCACGAGTCAGGTTTTCTTCCCACTATTATTATCTTGTGTCCCGTTACAAGCAGCATAGACTACTACATTCATTTCATTAAGCTTGCCAAAATGCAGACAGGACCGAAGTGAACTGAAACCAAAAAAAAAAAAAAAATAGCCTTGGCATATGGGAAAAGTCAGTATTTTCACTCCGAATGTGCGAGGCCAGCCGGATTAGCTTGCTGGTGGTGTGTGCAGTTGTCTTGCTTTACGCAGCTTCATCCAGCTGTTCAGTGGCATTTGAAAGAGAAAGAAAGAGAAAACTGAATTGCCCTGCTAACGTTGTTTTTAAATTATGTAGTTTCATTTCATCTAGGTGCTTTAATTTTACGTTTTAGAATTTCTAACTGTAGAACTTGGTTACTGAAAATGTGTGCTTTGGGCCAGAAAAGAATATTTATAAATCCTTATTCCCCCCCTCCAAAAAAAGCAAGTGGGAGTGGAAATTTGAAAGAGGACTGCCTAATTCAGCATTAAAACCAGTATGAGAAGCAGTGAGTGAGAGAGAGTGTGTGTGTGTGTGTGTGTGTGTGTGTGTGTGAATGAGTGTGTGTGTGTGTGTGTGTGTGTGTGTGTGTGGTGTAAAATGTGCTTTTCAAAGTGCTGAGAGGTTGATGGGAATGTTTGATTAGCTCCTCTGAGAAGAAAAGGTGCTTGGACCGCTCCTTGTTTCTTCTTTAGAATAATTTGGATGGGAGCTGTGATGCAGAAAAGCTTAAGGAAAAAAGGATATCCATTCTGTGTGGTGGAAAATTCTTGAAAAAATATTGCTTTCTTCAATCAAGGTATGTCTGATAAATTATTAAGCTATGTAGCTAGTTTGCTTTCCATTTCTTATTATGAAAATATTAAAATGTGTTTATCATTAAGAAACGACAATATTTACATACCTTGACAAAGTAATCAGTCTGTACAAATTTTAGTCTCAAGAGAATTGAGATGGGAGTGGGTGGTAGTTGACATCCTTGTAAACAACAAATATTATGTATGTCAACTATAAATAAATTGTACTAAGATTAGAAAAAGATTCTCACTGTATCTTTAAACAAACTCAATTATGATTAAAGTAACTTGAAAAGTATGACATTTCTGTAGAACTTTACAGTTAAGTTCTATTATCTTGATTTTTAAATATTTTGTTTCCTATCTGGAATATAAAAAAATGTAACAAATTGCTTATAACAATGTATCAAAAGCAATATGAGAAATGGGCACATTGATGCTAAATTAAAAGAGAAATTATTGAGCGTGGATCTATGCTTTTCTCTGTTCAGACAGATCTCGGTGGAATGTGGCTAGATGTGCGATTCTGTATCTTGTTTACACTGCAAGTGTTTTCTTAGGCTGAATGCTTTTTTTTACTGATAAGCCCAGGAAAAGGCTGGCATTGTCAGATCTACTATTGTAGCTCCACTTTGCACAGGAAAACAGGATACGAAATCTCTTTTAAGCATGATTAGTGTCAAACCAGCATAAACATGAAATAAATGCCTTAAGCACAGGCTAAACAGAGAGGATAAGACTGAATTATTAGACTCGATGGTTTGCTCCAAACAACTCATGGCATCTTTGCCATCTCCAAATCGGAGAGTGGAATTCAAGACTCTCTTTGGGTTTATTGTAAAAACAAAACCAGGCATTCTTGGCCATGGTGGTTATTCAAATATGTGAATGCTAAGAAATAGCATTTTGCCATTACGTTTTGTTGCAACAAATTTGGAAGTCTTGGTGGTAAAGTTCTGAGGTTGTTTTTCCCTCAGTCTCTTAAAAGTTGAAAACACCCTGCAGCAAGGCAAGATCAAACAATATTTGTGTATTTTCTCTGTTGTGTGTGTCAGCTGCAAGTGTAAGTTATGCCGCTGGTGGAAAAGCTGGAAGTGCCTGTCTTTTACTGATTGAATTAAAATACCTTCTTTTGTAAAAGGGCTTTAGACAAAGAATTGCAAGACTATAGGGCTGCATTCTTAATTGCAATATGCTGGTTTCCTAGACTAAGCTTCATTTAAATATATCTTGAACCTCACCACTGAAAGGAACACTAGAAATGCTTAATATCTACCCTTAAATAACGTTTACTCTGAATATCGTTTAGAAGATCGAGTTATCTTTTTTGCCAAGTTACTGATCACATGAAGAATAGTTTCTTTCAGAGAAAATACACTGGGTTTGAAAATGGTTTACTAATAGCATCAGGAGAACAAAAATGCTTGTGCTGTTCTCATCTGTAATTCCTGTGAGACATGTTGTGGATAGGAAAGCAGTGTGGTTCAGTGCAATGTCTCAAGCCAGGAGCCCTAAATTACAGGAACAGCTCTGCCACTATCTGGCTGTCTTACCTTGGGAAAGGTGTGCAACATTTCTTGACTTTTGTTTTCCCATCTGAAAAACAGAAATAGCAATGTTTGCACACACACCCTTCCAGGGTGGTCATGAGGCTCAATATTGATTCTCTGTTCCAAACAGGTTTTGATATGTGAAAAAGTTCTATAGAAATGTAATCTTTTTTTCTGAGCATATTAAAAAAAAATTACACTGGAAGGAATCATTTGCCTTAAAATTAATGCTTCATGGCCTCCAGGGAATTCCTGTTACTTGTGCCCACATGAGCAGCTTCTCTTCTTGCTTGTTTGGAGGCATAAACGGGGCATCAACAGCAGTGTGTGCAGGGCAGAGCATACTGATCTGTCAATAGAAGGGCACTCAAGCTGTGTGAACTTGGAGAAGTTACTCAACATCTCTGTGTCTCCATTTCCTCATGTATGAAATAAAGAGTTAGACAAGATAGCCTCTAAGTTTTCTTCCTAATCCTTTGGTTCTATGCACTGAGACCTCTCAAATGTGAAGACCTAGACAGGCCAATTTTATTGTTGAGATTCTGTATGTTACAGAATGAAGAAGTATCAAAATGGGGTTTCAGAATCTATGCTGTATTTTAAATGTTTATGTTTACGTAACTAAAGACTTCAATGTATACAAAAATTAAGTGTAGCATAATTTTTTTATATGTAACATTATTGTGTGTGTGTGTGTGTGTGTGTGTGTTTGTAACCATAGTGTACCGAGGATGCTGTGGTCCAAGTTGTATAAAAGACTTCTTTCAGTTCTCTGTTGTACCTCTGTGACTGCCTGTAACATATTATGTGGAGATAATGTCAAATAATTAAATGTAAGGCCTTCCAGGATTAAGAAGTACAAATTGGTTGTTACAAAGTAGTCTTGGGGATGTAGGGTATAGCATAAGGAATATAGTCAATAATATTGCAATAACTATGTATGGTGCAGATGGGTACTAGATTTCTTGGGGTGATAGGTGGAAGGTGGTTGGGGGGCTGGGTGAAAAAGGTGAAGGGATTAAGACGTACAAATTGGTAGTTACAAAATAGTCATGGGGCTATAAAGTAAAACAAGAAATACAGTCAATACTATGATATATAACTATGTAAGGTGCCAGGTGGGTACTAGACTAGTCAGGGAGATCACTTCTTAAATTATATAAATGTCTAACCACTATGCTGTACCCCTGAAATTAATATAAAATAACATTGAAGGTCAACTGTAATTGAAAAATTAAAAAGGGGGGAAAGTTGAAGGGGAATAAGAGGTCCAAATGTCCAGATATAAAACAAATAAGTCATGGAGATGTAATTAATGTACAGCATAGGGAATATAGTCAATAATATTGTGATAGCGTGGTTCTGTGACAGATGGTTGCAGGACTTATGGTGGTCACTTTCTTAGATATATAAATGTTAAGTAACTATGGTGTACCCCTGAAACTAATATAATATTGTATGTTAGTTACATTTTAATAAAAAAATCTTTAAAAAAATAAAAATAAATGTAAAGCCTTCCAGGAAAGGCCAAGGTCAAGTGGCCCTCTTATACTATAGATTCTGTGGGAGTTTGTTGGCAGGAGGCTCTGCCCCTTCTTAAATGTGTTAACTTTGGCAAGTTACTTAAACTTCCTGGGCCTCAGTTTTCTCATCTCTAAAAGGGGTCTTTCTTAGTGCCTACCACATCAGTTGTGGGAAAAAGCTTTAATCAGTGCTTGGCACACTGTCAGCGCCCAAATGTTAGCAAATATTTTCTTTATTATATGTGACTAGAGTGAAGAAATCAGATCAGCTGTGAAACAACATAATTATAATCCTCTTAAACTTTCAAACATTAACTCTTTGGATGAGGTAAGCTAATAGATTTGTGGAATTATGGGATATAATTATTAGAAATGTATTAGCATCTCTTTATCCAGAGTATCTGAGCTAATCAATCAATCAGCAATGATATAAGCAAATAAGCAAGAGAGGCAACCTCTATAATGTCTTTCTGTGGTTTGCAGAAGGTGGAGGAATTCCTGCCCCCCGAACATAGTTAGCATGAGCGAGAGAAACTGCAAAGGGAACCTGCTACTTTTTACAGGTCATAAAGGTGCTTGTGCAAGCGGCAGTGAGCAGCTTCTGTTAGTGCAGAGAATGGGACAAGAAAGGAGCAATAGACCGGGGAAAATTTAGGCTGGTCATCAGAAATGGCTTTTTTTATAGTGCTGATTGTTAAATTTTAATGAAACCACAGCCCTGCATGCCAAAAGCCAGGGCCTCCACAGCTGCTTGTCAGCCCAAATACAGCCCTGCCGCCTGTCACTAGTCTGCAGCACTGGGCTCACCTGCAGCTAGCCACTCCTGCTGTGCACCTGCACCCTGCCAGCCCAACTCTGTCACCAGCTTCCACTGCTGTGCATGCACGGCCTGCAGTGAGAGACCCTGTAGCCACAGGAGTGCACCCTCACGGTCAAGGGCCCCACAGCTGTTTACGTGCCTGCAGCTGGCCCCAGCCCTCACCACTACACATGTGTCTGTAACTGGCTCCTGCCATGATACAGGCTCCTACAGCCAGGCCTTGCAGTCGAGTGCATGCACACCACCAGCTCTGGCTGTCACCACTGCCTGCCCTGGTCACCAGCCTCTAGATCCTGGTGCATCACTGAGGACCCCAGCAGCTCTCCCAGCCACTGCAGATCCTTGCAGTGCTCACCAAGGACTATGCAGTTAGCGATGTGGAGCCCCGCAGCCTAAGCTGTTGAGATGTCACACCTTTCTGGACCCAGTGCCACCACAAGCCCCCATCCTTGGTGCCCTGCACCACTAGACCCAGGATCACAGCATGCCCCAGTGTGCCCCCGCCTCCAGGTGAAGGCTTTCCTGACCGAAGTCAGTACATAAAGTCTAGACGAGGTGACTGCTTCTTCCAATGTGCAAAGCTACAGGGATCACAAAGAATCGGGAACATGTGACACACCAAAGGAACGCACTCAACCTCCAGTCACTGACCCTGAAAAAAATGGAGATATGTGAACTGCCTGACAGGGAATTCAAAACAATTGTTCTAAAGATGTGCAGAGAGCCACAAGAAAACACAGGACAATTTAATGAAATCGGGAAAACAATACAGAAACAAAATGAGCTCAACAAAGACATAGACAACGTAAGAAAGAACCAAATGGAAATTTTGGAGCTGAAGAATAAAATTTTAATTAAAGAAAATACACACATACACACACAAACAAATATGTCAGTCTGAGATAATCTAGGTAAGTTCCTGTTTACAGACCAGGAGGTGAATAGATTCCCAAAGCTCCACGTTCACAATGGAACAATGACTATTTCAGTTTTGTTGATTGCATTTTCCCACGGTTACCTCATTGGTAAAACAAACAGTTGTGGATGCTGGACTTAGAATTTGTTTTTAATCAACTAGAAAGCTTTTTGTCCTCAACAGGCTAGAAACC